GCTTGTTCATGGTGTCTGCGGGCTGCTCTTCATGCACTTGCTCCTCGGTATTCCTGAGTTGGTTGAGGGTCTGGAAGACATGTAGTTTTAGGTACTATGTGGGGACAGTCGAGATCAACTTGTACTCGCCTAGTGTCGGAACGTCTTTACTTGTGGTGTGGTGGGGTGTTTCGCACGTTTTCACGTTTGTTGGCCACTCTACCCCTTGTCTTCAAGAGAGTACACCTTCATGCCCAACCTTCCAATGCACCATCATGTTCATGCCTTGTTCATAAACGGCTCCTTGTGGAGTTGCAGGGCCTACAGCCCGAAGACATTGCTATCGGCACTCCAGAGGGTCCACCCGTCCTTCAGGGGCTACCACCAGCACGATGCGCATGAGGTGTTCATACGCCTGGTGGGTACTCTCGAGGATGAGGAAGACTCCTTCATCGCAAAGCGCCGGCAAGAGGAGAAGGAAGCGGAGGAGGAGGAGGAGGAGGAAGAGGAGGAAGAAGAGGAGGAGAAGGAAAAGGGGTGTACGGGAGGGGGCAACAAAGGCGGAGGCAACCCTAGGCATGGGATCGAGCACACGAATAGTGTCGAGGGCGGCAGGGGCAACTCTATCGGGCAAGGCAATGCGGATAGCACTGTGGCAGATCCAGCAGCGTGTCAGTCGCCAAGGCTGCCGACCGAAGGCGATTTGGCCCGCGACAGCAGCAATGGGGGCGCCGTAGTATCGTACGTGGATGGTGCTAGCGGGGAGGAGAAAGTGGAGGTGGCGAAGCTGGGCGCTCAAGATGAAGGGCCTGCGGCCGTGTGTGCGGAAGGCTTGAAGGAGCATGGTGCACCGCTTGATGCGGCTTTGCCGGAAGCGGGCTCCGCAGTCGCGGCCGAGAATGGAGAAAGTCACCCAAACAGCGAAGGAAAGGATTTTGCCGATGACGATGCAGCTGAAAACCCTTCCTCCTCTGTGTGGACGAACCTAGGTTCTGATGACGGAGGGACGGACGAAGCTCGCGTAGGGAACGGCAAGGCCACCCGGAAAATATATGACCATGGCGCGGGAGCAGGGGCGACGCGAGCCGAAAGTGCTACTCCTACCCGTGAAGGTGAAGAGCAGGTCATGGAGCTGCCTGGGGCGGATCAGGCACCAAAGGTAGGACGAATGGAGCCCACTTCCGCGAAAAGAAGACGCAAGAGCAAAGAGTCGCAGCTGCGTGGCGGCGGCGATAGAGACGCAGATTCAGAGACGAGCACCGACGACGGCGAGACGACCGATGCCGGTGATCACGACGACGATGACGATGACGATGACGACGGCGGCAGCAGCGGCGGCGAAGCCGATGGTGCCCCTACCGGCAGCCCACCGCAAACGCTGGCCGGTGCATCGACGCCATCCGCTGAAGTGGTCGCCGTGGGGACTGGAAAGGAAAAGGAGAAGGACAGAGGAAACGAGGAACATCAAATGGAGTCATCGACAGCGGTAGACTCAGCGGCGCCGGTAGTACCGCAACGAGCCGCTGTGACGGAGGTGTTCGGCGGAACGATATGCTCGGTGGTTACGTGCGGCAGCTGCGGCGGGCGTTCTTTCTGCACCGAGCCGACCGTCTGTCTGAGCCTCGAGATCCCGTTGAAGCCTAGGGTTCTTTCAAAGGCGGCCCTGGCCTTCATTGCGAAGAAGAAGGCGGCCGCAGCAGCAGCCGCAGCCGCAGCAGCAGCCTCCGCCGCCTCCGCCGAAGAAGCGTCACCTGGACTGGGAACGGCAGTCACGGATAGCATCGCCTCAGAGGAGCGGCCAGCGCCGGGTTTTACCGGTGGTGGCAAGGATGGTGACAGCAGGACTGGGCCAGTGCCAGACGAAGACGGGGTGGACGATTCCGAGGGTTTTCAGCTGTCTGCCAAGCAGAAAAGAAAGGTGAGAGAGCGGGAGGTTACGAAGATCAAAGGCTACCAAGTTTTCATCATCTTATCTGGGGGCTCTTGAGCTAAGGTAGCTTTCTTCGGCAATGAACTCATACCTCAGACTCATGTATTCCCGTTGCATGGAAGAGCTGTTTCACTTTGGCTGGGACGTGGAATGCACCACACGACACGAGCGACTGGCACTCCTTTCTTCTTGAAACCTCAGCTGTTGAATCTACGTTAAAAGTCTGTAGAGGCGTAAAGTTAATTCTCATTTCCCTGTTTAACATCGCGATTCCTGAGACCCTGAAGTGAACGGCGATGTTTCAGTCTTGCTCCCATGTGTGTGGTCGGTTGGTTATGTGCAGCACTGCTCTTAAGCGCGATCATCATATTCTCCTTTCTCTACCAGAAATCACCAAGGTTCACTCCTACTCTACTGCCGCCGGTCCAGTTGAAAAATGTCCCCTCTCGTCGCTAACTCCTTGCTGCGCCGTTGCCTCTACTTGACGGCGTTTCAGGTCGCTCGGCAGGAGCGCGAAAAGTGGCGGTTGATGGAAGCTGAGGCGCAAGCGAGGGAAGGCACCGGTGGTGGCGCTGCGGATGGCACAGGGCAAGGGGGTGGTGACGAGACCGCAGAAGCAGCGGTGGACAAACCCGCACATGAGACGCCGCAGGACGAACGAGAGGAAGTGAGGAAATGCCTCGAACACGTTCTGTCGGAGTGCACCGCTGCCGCAAGCAGTGCTTCTGATGCAGGCCGGAACAGCGAGAGTGTGACTATTCTTGCGACGGGGGTGGACTCTGGGGTAGCGGCGACGAAGCAGGCCTCAGAGCCTAGCGGCACTGACCTGGGCGTCGAAGGAGAAGACGGGGCGTCGGAGGCTCTTTTGCCGAGTTTCCAGCTCTCGGCAAAGGAGCAGAAGAAGGTGAGCTTTAGTCTTATCTCCTTACCGTTTCCGCAGCGTGTCTGGCGACCGTTTTTGCGCCTTTTTTTCAATCCCGTCGTCGAGCGGCTCGTGGGGGCGTTCTGCTTCACTCGTTGGAAAACGATTGTCTTTGCGTCGCTTTGAGTGGGAGTAGTGAACCACCTTTTCTACCTTCTATTTGTGGGTGTTGCAGCCCGGTGTTGTGGACAAACCTGTGCCAGTCCCGTGCGTGTCACTGTGTCTAGTGCCCCTCTCTAAAAGTATCAACCCACATCCCCCCTGCAACGGCACGCAGATTGCTCGCCAGGAGAAGATTGGGAGGCAGCGTTCGGCCGAAGCTGAGGCAAAGGCGTGCTTGGAAGAGAAGCGAAGAAACGCCTCTCAGACCCCGCGGCACGAAGAGGGCGAGACCGCTGGTCGGGGCGGAGAGGTTGTCGATGCGATCGCTTCGATGGCAGCGGGCTCCGACGAAGGGTCTGCTGCGGATGGGACCGATGTGGAGGCTGTGGTGGCTGCAGAAAAGCCGAGAGGCCAAGAAGAAGGTCAAGAGGCGGCGGTGGTATTGGATGGGACACACACAAGTGGCAGCGCAGGAAACACGGGTCTCGCTTCAATGACGCCGAAACCGACGGACTCGGCCGTCCCTGGTGCGGAAAGCTTGGGGTCCTCGGGTCACGAGAGTTGGAACGGTGTCACTTCCATACCGCATTCGACAAGTCGAGCCGCGGGTGTTTGCGAGCGAGTTGATTGGAACGGGGGAAGCGTTGACGCCGGTTCGCCGCCGCCGCCGCCGTCTTATGAAAACTCTTTCGCCGGAATCGCTAACTGCGGACAGGTTGGGCAAGGGACGGGAGCAGTAGCTGGGACCGCTAGCAATGGGCAAGAGCAACAAGCGGCGGACATGGGGCTTCGAGATAGATTCGAAGCGGACGGCAATCTGGACGGTGCGGGACCTTTCTGCTCGTCAGGCAGCCTTGGCGGTTGCACAACCGGCGACACACAAGGAAGCATCGACGTTTGCGAGGACGGTCGGAGCGCCTTTGGCAGCGAGTGCAGCGAAGGAAATGGCAATGACAAGAAGCACGAGGAGAGCGCAGTGGCTCCTACCAACGCGTTGTCCAAGTATCTCGATGGGTCGGACGGGTTGGGGTCGGAGGCAGAGAGGAAACGTCAGCGTACAAACTCGCGGGCTCCAGACTCGACTACGGCTTGTCTCGAGGGGGGCGACGTGTCGGTAGAGGGTAAGGCAGTTGGTGTGGAACGCAGCCGGGAGTCGCAGTCAGCAGGCGGCGGTGCTGTGGCGGACGAGAACGGCGGAGATAAGCATGCGGACAGCAGCGTCACTGACTCTCCTGCCACCGCATCACCCCCCGGTGCCGCCGCCGCGGTCCCGCGGGATCCTCTGGACCGCCTTCAGGAGCCGTCGGCACGAAAGAAGTTAGAAAGGAGACACGACCCCGACGGGATCGATCTCTACGGGTGCCTGGATCACTTCATGGCGGAGGAGGAATTGGTTGCGGCGGACGGTAACGGTTACCACTGTGAGAGCTGCAGTTCTCGCGAAGAGGCGGTGGCGGCGGCGACCGGCGGCGAGGGGGGCGTGAAGGCGAAGGAGGGAGCGACTAGGAGCCACCAGAACGCCCGCAAGCGTCTCCTGATGCTCGGCCAGCCGCCCGGAGTGTTGGTGTGCCATCTCAAGCGCCTTCAGGCGAAGAAGAAAATCATTAGGCGCGTTGAGTTCCCCATCGAGCTGGACATGACCCCGTACTTCTGGCTCGACCCCGATGTGCGTGCCTAGGTTTTGGGCGGTGGGGGTGGCCGAAATGTTTTCATTGTGAAATACGAAGTATCGCATTCGATTCCGCACCAAGCGTGCTTCCTCGAAGAATTGACATGGGGGCGCTTTTTTGGTGCTGCATTGACTGTTGTTAGCTTCTTGCGAATCTTGTGCAGATGAAGTACTTTTATGAAGCGTGCTGGTCACACCATATCGCTGCCGCGTCTCATCCGTCGTAATAACTCCCCTGCTCTCTTCTCTGACTGTTTCTCCGCCCCGGTACAATTTCGCAGGCACCGCTCTCTCCGAATCATACACGGTACTGCCTGAGCGGTCTCGTTCAACACCGCGGCAGCCGATTCGGCGGACACTACATCGCCTACGTCCGGGATCGTGACGGCTGGAAGCACGCGAGCGACAGTGACATCAGAACGGCAACTCTCCCAGAAATCAAGGCTTGCGAAGTAAGCAGTACCTTGCAGTGTAGGGTTTGAGGGGGCGCGTACGTGTCGAGATTGGGGCGGTTGATGTGGTGGAGGGTGTTGGATGTGCTGTTGGCCTTTTTCTGTTCGTTCTTGCGTGACTCGTGATGATGAGAGAAATCACAATTCGTGGGGAGTGATACTCTTGGTCAGATGGCACGGCAGTCCGTTTTTCTCAAGTGTTGTTGATCACGACAGGTTATTCTACCTGCTTCAAGTTGTGTCAGGCTTGTTCCTGTCTCTGTGTACCGCCGTCTGCGCTCTCGTTCTCAATATTGCACCGCACCGTCTCCGTTGTCTTCTCCCAGTAACACATTCTATTCTCCTGCATGAATGTCCTTTGCATTGCCTTCGGCCTCTGCGCTCTGCTTCTTTTTTCATGTCCTCCCTGCCTACTCTGCCTTGTTGGGTACCTTGATCTCCCTGTTGCTGTTGTTTTTGCTTTTGCTTTTATATATTTGGCTGTCTACCCATCTGCCGCCTCTTTGTTATGTTAGTTCCATTACTCCCATGCCCTGGTGCGTAGTGCCTGGTGCTGGTACGTTACCCTTTGATTTTGTTTTTTAAGCAGGTGTGGGAACCTTATTGCTTTCATCTTTATTTTTGTTTTATTTTGATCGGTTTCCGAGGGCTCTTTTCTCGACCGGTCGGTGCGGTAGCTGTTCTTTGCTTTCTATCATTTTGTTTACTTTTTCCGAGTGGTTTGTATTTTTGTTTTGTTTCCCCGCGGCGTCGTATGTGCCGGTTTTTTTGAGACCACGGGCTCTCCATTTTTGTAGACTATAGAGTTGATGTGAGAAGCAACAACAACAACAACAACAACAACAACAACAACAACAACAACAACAGCAACAAACAAACATTCGGGTTATCTTTCTATCCCTGCCTCCTGCCTGACTCCAGGCGTACATGCTCTTCTACGAGCGCTGCGACCTGATCGATCCGGTTGTGGCGGATGCAGCTGACGGTAGCGTTGGCAGCGTCAGCGATGGTGGAGTCGACCAACCGGATGGACGCGAGAGGAAAGCGGTCGAAAACGCGGGGGAACTTGGTGTAGAAGCTCTAGACAAGGCGAAGGCGAACGAAAAGGTGGAGGGATCCGGTGTAGACGTGCTAGACGGGGCGGACGAAAATGCCGAAGAAGCTAGTGTACGCGTCCCTGAGAAGGCGGACGAGCAGGCGGGGGAGCCTGGTGCAGAAGCGCTAGACGAGGTGAACAAAAAGGCGGAGGAATCTGGTATGAAAGTGCGGAAAAAGGCGGGGGAGTCTGGTGTACAAACCCTAGATGAGGTGAACGAAGATGCGAAGGAAGTCGGTGTAGATGTACTGGACGAGGTGGAAAAAAATGAGGGGGAACCTGGTCGACAAGCGCTCGACGAGTTGGAGGGCGAAACAGCGGCTGTTCCCGTAGGCGCGTGCGAGGGTCAGGAGGGAGGCGGAGTCACTTACCCTTCAGGAGAGGGGAAGGGGGAGCGAAAGGATGAGAGCGTCATTTCTGTTGCTGAGAAGAGCAACGAGGCAGCCGTTGCCGCCAGCGCCGCTGCAGTTGCTGCAGTAGACGAGAAGGGTGGAAGATCCGGCGCCTCCACTGGCGAGCAGGACCAAGAGCAAAAGGCCGAGCCTGTGACTAGTTCCGACGGACGGAGTGAGGCAGAGGCGAGCGGGGGAGTTCAAGTTTAGGGTATTTTCCTCGCCGCCTTCACCGCAAAAGTACCATACCAGCATCAAGATCTGCGGTGGGGAACTTGTCCGGAGGAACGGCTATGGCAAGGGGTGCTGTCGTCGGTCGCTGGTGTGCAGCAGCAGCAGCAGCAGCAGAAGATAGATAGATAGACTGCGCGAGGTGGCGACGAGAAGTTGGGAACATATTCCCCCGGAGTCTCTCTCCACCGCCACCCTTGAGCTCGAGAGTTTTGCTACGGGATGGAAGTGGATCGAACGGCGCCGGGTGTTGGTGGATTTAGGCTGCTGCGTGCAGTTAGCCGAGGTCGCGTGCTGGTTGTCGGCAGCAGAGGCTGTCTGTGGTACGTGCGATATGGGTTGGTGCTGGCGCTGGGGGACTTGAGTGCAGTGGGTTACAAAGGGCAGATAATTTTATGGGAGGAAATACGTTGGGGAAGCAAGAATCGATCTATCTGATCGAAGAGGTCAAGACAGATGGGTGTTATACGAACCGGGTGCGTGTACCCGTGTGTGGTTGGTGGATGCGTAAAGTGATGCGTGTTTTCCATGTAACTCCGTTGGTGTTGTTTTCGTAGCTTCTTCGCGGGTGGAAGAGAGCGAGTAGTTTTATCTTTTTGGGTTCGGTGCTTGTTGCCACCCGTGCGTGGGGGAAAACGCAGGTTTACGGTGGTAAGCGTGCTTCTCGGGTAGCTATAACTTATGCTGGGGCTTTGCGACCACTATCGTATGTTGTTGCCTGCACCGTCTTTGGTTCAATAGCTCACAAAGCTTCGGGCAGACTTTTTTCTGTCCTTTTGTTCCATCGATGGGCTTTGTTTCTTCGTTTGTTCGTGTATTGTTTTGCTATCTTGACTTAGCGTTTTGTGGGGTGGCCAGAGTCCACAACGTGTCATATCCCCTAAGCAGTGGAATGATATCTTCCATCGCAAAGGGAACAAAAGGGACGTTGACAATAATAACAATTTGTATTGATATTAGACATGAAGCGTCACCTGCATAGAGAGAGATGATGCCAATGACAACCGTGAAGCTGCAACGCACGTTTCTCCCGTAGCCACAAACACATTTTTTGGGCGTTGTTGAAAGTTGGTCGATTGACATATAGGGGCAAGCCCCGACAGTGCGCAGAGAGAAGGTATGTACAAACAAGATATTGGTATGCTTGGTAGTTTTTTTCGACGCCACGGGAACAAACCAAATCGAAGCACAGAGATGGGGGCAAGTTTCGCCACATTGTTGTCGTTTGGGTTGCATGTGGTTCTCATGCCACACACGGCGGAATTGCTAAGACTGCACAGCACGCGCATGTGGAACGGCCCGTGGTTTAGATTTTTCGGGAGAACGGATCCTCTGGAAATTCGTCCTGTCATGTCGCCGGTCTCTCTTTCGCTGAGCTAGCTGTTTGGCCCAATCGCGGCTGTTGGTTTTTGTTTATTCTCTGCCTAGTCGCTGATGGACATGCATCGACACACGTTGCCCAAAGTGCCTCTCAGTCTGTAGTCGGTGTTTGAAGAACTTTCCCACAGCTCCAAGAGCTTGCCCAGGTAGAAGACCAGCCGCAGGTTAACACCCTGCAGCTGTGCCTAGGCCTTGAATCATATCATGTGGTAGGGTCATGGGATGCACCAAGATTTGCGCCAAGTAGAGGGGCCCCGGTTGTTGTATACCCTGAATATATCAAGTCGGTTCACGTTGAAAGATTGTGTTCAGGTATAATGAGAAAATGGGTGGAACGTGCGATGATGCACATCGGGGAGGGTGCGTCTAACACATGTGGGCAAGGCGACGCTGTTCCGGAATCGGGGTGTTGCCCAGAACAGCTTGTACGAACTTGTCATCCAATCTCTGAATGAGGGATAAATATAGATGTAGATGACCCGCTGTGCTTAGAAGATTTTTTTATCACAACAAGGGACATACGATGTAAAGGGGCGAATGTACAGTCTACGCAAACAAAAAATGAACAGTGTACCATGAAATCCCGAGTTTGAAGCTCCTGCGAAGCAAACTCACAAAACAAGCCATGTGCAGGAACAACCCTACACATGGTGCAACAAGCGCATGCGTTTCAAGCAAGCGTCGTGCTCACCTTCTGTACAGCAGCAGCGAACATGTGTAGCACTACACGTGAAGAGAGGGAATCGTCCTGAAACTGGCAGACGTTGGAAGATGTGACCCTGTATGAAGTTGATTTCCTCAAGCATACGCTTTGCATAATAACGGTCGGTTCCCGTTGAAAAACTTGCCCGGCGTAACCTGCCATCGTCTGCACCCCTCACCCTCTCTGGCCGTCTTGGAAACAGCGCAGATACCTGTCGCCACGATGTGCGTTCCATGGACTACCAGCAGTCAATCAACTCCGCGCACAGGAGTTCTATTGCGTGGTTATCGTAATAGTTCTCCCCCTTTTTTTTGGCGGTGACCATAATGGTGGTCGAGTAGATCATGTTGTGCGGGGTGAACCCTCACTCCGCGCAAGGGGGATGATCGCACCACGTTGTGTTAAAATGGTCAAGCACCCTCGAGGCAGTTACACAGCAGTGCTTACAACTGTCTCTGGAAGTGAAAGCACCAGAAGGTAAATTAAGTCATACGCAGCTGTCATCCGTACGCAAGGAAGTAAGCACAAGATGCCGAAAACCCTTAACAGGATGCAGCGCACCCTTCATGCGACTCGCCGAATATCTCACGGCGCTTCGCGCTTGGTGATGTGAGAGCCTGGTCCGGTGAGAACCCGGCGTGCTCCGTCCCGGCTTTGTAGGGATGCGAGGTCAATGGTCTAACGACTACGGCATGCACGACTATGAGTACACCCCCCCCCTTTTCGACTACTGGTCAGGAACTTCCTTGTCGTCCATTGTTTCGTATGAGTCTTGCGATGAGATTTGATGGAGGGCCTCAAAAAGCAAGAGCGCTCCGGCGCCCACACCGAACGCTACCAGGTGCGCCACGGTGGTTATGGCCTCCTCGACAATTGCGTAGTACACACAGACGCCGGTCCACACCGCCAACGAGACGGGGGTGGCATACGCCAATGTTGACACCGCAGCATTCTCTGCGCGGATGTGCTGAATGCGCCACCAGGCCAGAAAGACGAATCCCGCGTACGCGCTCCACACGGCGCTAATCCCGACGTTGTTCGTGCTGCAGTCGGCGAACAGCTGTCGGTCACACAGAGGGTGGGGGACAGATAAGTAGTTGTATAGGACAAAATGTGTGGTTGTTCCACTATCGCGATGAACGGGTGAACACTCGGTCGTCCAGTTCTCCTCTCGGACACTCGCTTACTACATATATATCGGCTGTTGATCTTCGTGCCCTTAGGTGCCGAGGTCGGACAACATGCACACAGTACAGAGGAAGAGACAGCAACAACGACACGGCTTTTTTGCCATGCTACACGAGAATCACGTACTAATCAGTCGAACCACGTGGCACGGTCTACATCAGTCTAGATCGGCGAGACCGAACAGAACAATGTACTCCTTCACAACGCGTATCCTGACCTGCATGGCGAACAGAACCGAGGTGAACGGCACCCAGAACCATGTCGCGTACCGGGGATACCTTGAAGCTCGCTCCCCCGCTTTCCGCGTGCATAGTATGAGAGAGATGAGCATTAGCACTAACGTCACGTCTGCGAGGTTATAGAACGGGGCAAGTAACGGTGTTTTGTTGGTGTGTAGATTGGGTGTGTCAATGATATCAACCATATACTCCCAGTCCCCACGAACCCCACCACCCCGTTGATGTCTGCGGCTCGACGCAAGTCCAAGAGGTGAAAAAATCTGAGATCAAGTCATAGGGTCACGATGATACTGCAGACAACAGAAATACCACACCCGTTAATTGTTGGATTTTTGCCCAATTGTTGTCACCGGGGCGCGTGATACAATATCTTGTGTGGGACTGCTGCTGGCATTGTCTTGCTGCAAAAACGCAGCAGCCCGCCACCGGGCGGGATCGTCGTCCTCGTCGTGTCGGAGATTCACGAGTGACCAGCTTTGTTGAGTACTTTAGAAAGAGAATACATCAAGATGAGATACGGTGAACGACACACGGGAAAGTTCTACCGGTAGAGACAGATTCCACGGGCACATCGGCACATCAGTTGGAGCAGCACCCCTCCACATTGCGGGACAATGCAAGATCATGAATTACTCACAGTTGATGTAGATATCCGTTTCGCTCCCTTCGTAAGTAAGCACTCGTGTCAAATCGCACCCGTACGCCATGACACTTGTGGTTGACGAAGTGAGTGTGCACGTCTGAGCAGCGACCTCACCCATCTCCCCCTGTGCCCTGTATTGCTGTATGATGTATGATGCTGACCTTCTCGCCCGTCAATGCGGAGGATTGTAGTTCCGCCGCATCATTCCTTCTGTGCATGCTTCCATATGTCTTCAACTCCATGTAACGGCCAGACCCGCCGCACGACCAGATTGGCCAGAAGTCACCATCGTGCACGTCGCTGCTGCCACCCAGAACTGAATAAGCAGAGAGAGCTGGAGTGCATCCTTGCTGACAGTCAGCAGGTCGGAGCCCTTCAACTTTTGAGTAATATGTTTGGAACAACTCTCGTGGACATTCCGCTCGAGAGCAGAGAGCGAGTCAGCCCGCTGAAGAAGCTCTGTACGGCCGTGAGCTTTGAGTCACCAGATTTGTTCCGCATTCACGGGGTTCCCTGCATAGATCGAGGCCCCGACAACTTAAGGCCTCCCGTTGCATACGAGCATTGGAATCATACAGGTAGTGGAGGCCGCAAAAGATCGGGAGGCAAGGGTGGGATTGCGAAGAAGGCAGCCAATTTCGCACGGCCTTCGTCTGTGTCGGCAGACACTCCGAACTTTTTCAAGGTGGGAGGCATAATGAAATTAGGCTGTACGCAAGTGCACGTGTTGTCTATAGAGCAGGGGCACGACAATCTTGCCGGCTTATCACTAAGCTTCCGAGTTGGAGTGGTGGGCTCTACGTCTTAAATGGTGATGAGACTGCTGTCGGCCCCTTGACCTCTGCACCTTAGTCCACATGACATGTATTCAGGGTCTTAACTTCGTTGCCTTTGAAGACTATAATAGTGTAGACATCTAGAGATAAGGATGCTCTACCGAATAGACCAGAACGACGGCATGGTATAATGTGTGTTGATAACAACAACAACGACGACGACGACGTGGACGCACCTCCCTTGCAAGCCGAAGCACCGGAAAGACGCTTCCGTGGACGTTCGACTTTTCGTTGAGGTCACCGCACTCGAGTACTATCGACCAGTGCGCGAGTGCAGCCCAGCACTGGCCTACTGCTAGCTGTTACTACCTGACCCGAACAGAATATGCGGTCTTCGTGTTTGATGGGCAATGGGCCTGTATCTGCCCTTGTATACGACGGCGACCGCCATATTCAGAGATGCCACAGACCCTGAAATAGACTGCGGCTACTGCTCTTTTCAGGGGCTTTCAGGGGATGTCCCTGAATACGACGGTGACCGCACCCTTCAGGGACCAAAGATGTGGCAACGATTTTGACTAGCGATTTTGACCGCCCTTTGGGGGGACCCTGGCGTAGTCAGGATCTAGACGGAAAAACGAGTAGTACCCACATGATGCTTCTTTAATTTTGTTACAAGAAGCAGACCCTCGTAACTCGAAACGCATCTCGCGCTGACAGAACAGTACTCGGGACACAAGAGGGAAATTTGCTGCGTACCCTAAGTTTTTTTATGAAGGGACGCTGTTCCACGATGATTGATTTGCCAAACTTCGCCGTGTTGTATTGTTCGCTTTTTCAACAACATGAAACGACAGCCCGAGATATCTTACGCCAGAGGTTTGTGGTTACTGTTCAGGTGCCTGGAGTGGCGATCAACAGCAGCAGCGCAATCACAGGAGTCGAAGCGGTATGCAGTCCACCCCCACAGCACCAGCCGTTCAGCCTGCCGGAAACATTTATGCACGGGAAGGACGTACAGGCCGTTGCTGATCCACCAACCCTACCAGGTACGAGATACTGTTTATGTAATCATGAACCACAGCAGCAAGAAAGAGAGGGGGACGTTGACATAACACGATGGTGTTACTGTTTGTTTTTTCTAGAACCACGTCTCCTCGAAACACGTTTCGAATCAGCAGCTTTAGGCGACTAACTTCCCTTTCCTCGTCACGCATTCATGTACACATAATAATACGTGGATTTTTTTTTCCTCCGACCCTTTCCGTTCGATCGACGGACACTGCCCTACCGCGTGGCAGGTGTAAAATATTTCTTCTACCCAAAGCATGTGCCCCACAGAAGGTAGCGAACGCCACAAAATAAACTTCTCGTTTCCCGCTCGTGCTTTCAAGGTCGGTGGCGAGAGACGGATCGTGAAGTCGGGCAGTGGGGTCACGCAACCCGAGAATTTCACCAAGCGCTGGTGAAGATGAGGCAAAGAAGTGCTGCACAGGCTCAACCAAAGGTAGGTGCATGTCGTTGTTGAACACCTGATTGAAGATATGCTTGCTCGTACGTGCTACGTGTTGGCTTTTGCTTTAGTGCTGAGAGGGTGGCAACGGAGAGTGTAATAGTATCTAAACCGATCGTCAACTTTCTCGCGTTCACTGTTCTAGCGACTTTTATCATTTTTTCTCATTGGGAAATATTGACGCCACTACTTAACAAACATTTCCTCCCTTCCGAGAGTCATGAATGTTGTATGTTTGAGATGGGGAGAGGGTTCTCTCACAACATTCCTCGGCATTATCAACATAGAATGGCTATCGACAAAATGATGCTGCTAGAGTCTATGGCTGGCTGTGGTTTACTATAAGCAGCGCTTATATATAGTCTAAAGCTAGCTGTGGTAGCAAGGATGGACGCGTCGAACGTGGCCGCCAGAGAGTGAATGAACTTGCCGACACAGCAGTACCACCACTCCTCTGTACCTCTCACAAACCGTGACAGGGCAGCACACCGTTGCCTCACCACTGCGGTTCACGCCCCGTTTCGAGCGCGGGAGGGAGCAGAAGCCGGCCGGAACTCGACTCAAAGCAGAGTATTCAGGCCGCCCCCACCGTGCGGCAGCGAGGTGTCGGAGCCGACGGCGTTCCGGCGGGGGAAGACCAAGGCCAAGGCCAGGCGAAACGAGACGCCGCAAACGCACGAACACGGCCCCGGCGGGTTTCCGACGTGGAGGCTTTCATGTCCCGTCTAGAGGGAGAACGCGGCCCGCAGAATCGACGCGAGAGCATTGCGGCGTACCAGAAAATGCTCATAGGATGCACGACGAACAATTCGGCCATACTCGGAGACAACGCCCCCACGAACGCTGGGGGCGACAAGGGGAGTAATGGCGCCGAGAGGGTAAACGAGATAGATGGGAAGAGGGGAGCTGAGCTGCGCAAGGCGCTCGCCCGGAGAGAGGCGGCGCACAGCGCTGTTTCCGGGCTGATGGGCACGGCTGAGGGGTCCTACATGCTCAGCCGAGGGAGGGATTCGTCGAAGATTAGCCTCGGCAGCACTCGGCCCACCAAAACCCTGCCTGTTGGGGTGGTGCGGGTGGCTGCCACGAGGACGTAGAATGTAGGCGTTAGGAGAGCTTTCGCGAAAGGGCTGACTTGCTTTCATTCGTGTTGCACCTGGACTGACGTCAGTGTCGACAATCACGTGCCAGAAAAATCAAGCAAAGTCTGCAGGCAAGGGGAACTAACCATCTTCTGAAAGCAGCATCATGCGCTCGCCATTTTGAAGTTCACCCATTGTGTGTGGAACTGCGAACATCTGCTTCATGTTTGTTTTGGGAATGTGGTCGGACGTGCTTGCGCCACAGCAACAACACATCTATCTGCCATTGCAGCGCAATGCTGAACGGTTGAATCCTGGTTGTATTCGTACGAATGTTGACGTCGACCCTTCTCTATGGTTATCTCCGATTCCGAGACAAGTTTAGTGAAACAAACACTTCGACAGCTGGTGAGTGCAAAGGCCTTAGGGGTGGCTCGCTCAACACTTGACATGAATCGGGAACAAAGTGCCTCCTCTCGCCAATACCAAGCCGACCTCATGGCCCCGACGGCCACAAGAAAGAGACGCGAGAGACAAACAACCATCACGACCAACAGACAAGAGGCAACAACTCTCCCACGCTCCTGCCTGCAATCGTTCAACGGCTAAAGCACGCCAGATACCACACCTCAGCACTAGGCAGCACCCAGCTCCAACGATTCCGCCTCGAATATCTGATCAACCAGAGTCTGTGCGCGAGGACACGTACGATACTAAACGAACGTTGAACGCAAAAAAAATCCGCAAAATTCCCTGGCGAAACGAACCCCTCATTTCTTGGTGGCAGCTTCTCGTGCCCCCGTTTCCATTCCAAGCACCGCCTTAACCCCTGGGTCTACCTTGACCAACGTCTGGGCATACCGTCGCAATGGCTCCTTCAATCCCTGCACAAAACAACGACGACGCATGCAAACAGACGAGGGGGGGGGGGGGGGGTACTCTT